AGAGAATTTTTTTTAATATTTATTTTTTAGTTCTCGGCGGACACAACGTCTTTGTTGGTATGTGGTGCTGAGGATCGAACCCGGGCCGCACACATGCCAGGCGAGCACGCTACCGCTTGAGCCACATCCCCAGCCCTTGTTTCTCCTCCTTGATTCAGGCCCTATCTTTTCTTTTGGGGGCAGTAGCCACTGGTGAGTTTTGAATGGGTAAGGGCTGTGATCCTACTGTTGGGGGTGGGGAAGAGTGATGAATGGGGTTCAGTCAGTCTTGAAGCTCACAGGCTCAAGGATCAGTTTGGTCCAGGTGTTGACCATGAACCCTGAAGCATCCTGAGACCACTCATGATGGGGATATGCCCTAGAACTATAAGCTGGAGAAGCAAATTTTTTTTGGCTTGTTGCTCTGACCTTGCAGGGCCCTTCCATACCCTTCACTACTTTTAGAACTCTCCACTGGCTCAATTTCAATTTCAGGTTGTTTGTTGTGCACTTGTAAAGAAAAGTCTCATATTTCAGACACCTCAGGCAAATTCTGTCAGGCATCAGAGAAAGACAGTAGCCAAAGAACCTTGCTTTGCAGGATGAAGGTGGAGGAGGAGGAATCTACCCAATTATGAGCCCATAACTTTAGAAAACAGTACATGTGGGAGGACCACTCCCAGGCAATGACCGGAATAAAATGCTTGGCCTGTGGTTACCATGGCAATTGTCCAAAGGTGCCAGGTGGCAGTTCTTCTCCCAATCCTTGTTCTTTTCAGCAGGAAGCAACTAAGTGCCTGGGGAAGCCCCAGGTGGCTGGACATCTTGGCCAGAGGTCAAGGCAACACAGGCTCCAGGTTCACCCTGCTCCAGTTCTGCTTTCATAGAGCCCCTTGCCACCTGCCAAGGTATAGGGATGAGTCACTTGTTTATTTTAGTGCAACTCAACTTTCCTTTGTTGGAGGGCCCTACCTCTCCCTGGGTGTACAGCCTTGTGGGGTCTTCAGAGGAACCAAGTCTAGGGATACAAAGAGAACCAGGACCCTGGAACTCCTGTTGTCCAGAGCTAGTGTGGATTCGGCTTCTGGGCAGGGACTTAAACACACACACATTTTGCTCAACAACATACCCTCCTCCTTTTTTTTTTTAAATTTTTAGTTGTAGATAGATGTAATACCTTTATTTTATTTATTTATTTTATGTGCTGAGGATCCAACCCAGTGCCTCACATGTGATAGGCACCCCAGTCCCATGCCCTCCTCTATATATGATCCCCTGCTTCCTATCTCCACATAGCCAGATGTCTTAAGATTCATCTGCACTCACAGCCTTTGCTTACTATTTTTTTTT